TTCCCTACAAGTAATTAAAGCCTGAATATGCGTACTTTATTTAGTATGGTAATATGCAAAGGACTTTGAGAATTTGCAGTTAATTATGTTTGTATGATTCAAGTCCGTTGATGGGAAACAGTATCTTAAGAATATTAAATAAACATTCTGAGGGGTAAAGAGAAAAAGTATTTAAGAATTTGTTTTTTTAACTTTTCTCCTCCCTTGGAATAATATCATTTGGTTAACAGGCTTTCTTTGCTAAGTAAACATGTCATTTATCTAGAACTCAGCATCTAGACACTTTAACCATTTATTGTTACCAAGTAGCTCTAACTGTTGAATGCAGCTGCTGCTCATCATAAAAGGAAATGTGTTACCAAATGTAGCTTAATCTGTCCAAACTTAAAATTAGCACCTCTCTGTTTGTTCAGCTACAAAAAGCAGAATTGCTTTTTAGAAGTGTTTCTTCAATCGGGATTCTAAGGCACAGCTGATAAGATATTCTTCTGGCAATTTAAGCTACAGTTTTATTTATTTTGACAGTAGATTAAAAGTAATGCAAGTGGAGAGACATATCTTGTATTTTCCATAATAGTCACAGGCTGGGAAGTGACAATTAGAGGGAAACATCAGACACTTAGATACTGCACAGAAGGATGCACTGGAAATGCAGGGAGGAAAAATAGAGTTTAGATGTTATACTATTAGAATACAGCCATGACCCCTGCTTTGCTAGAACAGCCCATAGATAGCCAGTTCGTTCCTTAAAGCTTTGGCCCTGACAGGGTCCTGACTGAGGCCTTTCATCTGCCATGTAGAGCAGTGGTTGTCAGCCGGGGGTACATGCACCCCTAGGGGTACTTAAAACGGTCACAGGGCGTACGCAGAACTAACATGTGCGTGCATGCAGCTGCAGCACAGCATGTGGGTGGCTAGGAGTGCAGCCCGGCTGTGTGGAGAGCAGCCAGATCCAGCTGGTAAGCTTGTTGTTGGGGGAGGGAGTGGAGCTGGGGCAGGGCACGGGACTGAGCCCCGCAGTGGGGTGGCTCCCACTTCTGTGTGCACCCCGGGAGGGCATGGGAGGCATGTGCTCCTGGATCTGCTTGCAAGGCGGGGCAGGCTGGAGCTGGGATGGTGCTGGGATCTTCCTGGGGGCGGGTG